GTGCGACAGCCCACGCGCCACCTCTACCTACTGCACATCCCACAGGGGATGCTGTGCGACAGCCCACGCGCCACCTCTACCTACTGCACATCCCAGCAGCAAGGGCCGTAGTCTGCACACCTACCGCTCTCTCTAGCTGCTACAGCACTGTCCCACCCCCAGCTCACTCCCTGAGCTCCAGGCAGCCCCAGCCACTCTCCTTGTACTGGTTACCCGTGCCCACCCGCGGGCTCTACATGAGACCCCACCCCACCCCACCAGCATACTTCGCTTTCTTGGCTGCCCAAGTAGCGGTTCCAGCTACAGTTCTTGCTACTTTTACTTCTTAGAAATGGCTGGTCATATGATACACACTGTAAGAACCAATCCTTGTTCTTTTTTCCTGTACTTTAGGGAAGGGTCTCTAGGGTGTTTAGGGTCTCACTACTAGATCGTAATGATTCTCCTGTTTACAGCCTCCCAAGAGCTGGAATTACAGGCACGCTACCACACCCAGTCTCAATTGCTATCTCAGCACACCCTGCGGTGGGCCCAGCACGGCGAACGCGGGGATCAAGCCCCCAGCCCCTACACCTGCTTGCAGGCATTTTATTCCACTGAGCTACTTGGCCGGTCCTCCAATCCTCTACTGACAAGCCAGTCTGCCTCTGTACTTGCTGCTTGCTTACGTCATACAAGCCCTAGAACACCAGAGATCAGGGCCTGTTTTGAGAATGATCCCAATCAGAGTCCACTGATGCAAATAAATCTGCCTCCAAATTCTGGTGCCCTTTGATGTTTCTGCTTGCCGTTACAGTACTATCCTAAAATGCTTGTCATCCTGCTAATTGCTACTAACTTGTGGCAGTGAGGATGGCTTCAGGAAGCCACTGTTCATTTAAGCTCTGGATGTCTGTGAGTACAGGGCTAGTATTCCAGATAGAACACAGCAGTGCACAGGCTCAGGTGGTAATTGCTCTATTCAGGACCCTTAAAACAGCTTAACAAAGCCTCAACCAAGCACGAAGAAGGGCAGGGGGTAGCCTGGGAAGGACAAAGGACAGACCAGGCTGGGACATGCCCAGTGAGTACACAGACAAAAAAGCTGAGCCTCTGTCTGCTCTACAAAAGACACCTCAGCTGGGCATCTCAGTCACTCTGGCACCTCCGAGACAGACAGGCAGGACAGGCAGTAGGGAAAGTGACTGAAGGAGAAAGCAATGGGACCTGATCTAGGTGAGCAGCTGAGAACAAGGACTAAGGCCCCACCTTCCGGGAGCCTCGACCCCACCCCCAGGTGAGGCTAGGAGGGGCTCACCTCCCCCACCTT